CGGGGAGTGATGAAGGGTGGGAAAGTGGTGAAAGATGGGGGAGTGGTGAAGGGTAGGGGAGTGATGAAGGGTGGGGGGGTGGTAAAGGGTGACGGAGTGGTGAAGGGTGCGGGAGTGATGAAGGGTAGGGGAGTGATGAAGAGTGCGGGAGTGGTGAAGGATAGGGGATTGATAAATGGAAAGGGAGTGGTGAAGGGTAAGGGAGTGATGAAGGGTGTGGGAGTGATGAAGGGTGGGGGAGAGATGAAGGGTGTGGGAGTAGTGAATGGTAAGGGAGTGATGAAGGGTGGGGGAGTGATGAAGAGTGGGGAATGATGAAGGGTAGGGGAGTGATGAAGGGTGGGGGAGTGGTGAAGGATAGGGGAGTGATGAAGGGTAGGGGAGTGATGAAGGGTGTGAGAGTGATGAAGAGAGGGGAAGTGGTGAATGGTAAGGGAGTGATGAAGGGTAGGGGAGTGATGAAGGGTAGGGGAGTGGTGAAGGGTAGGGGAGTGATAAAGGGTAGGGGAGTGATGAAGGGTAGGGGAGTGATGAAGGTTGGGGGAGTGATGAAGGGTGGGAGATTGAGGAAGGGGGGGAGTGATGAAGAGTAGGGGGGAGTGGTGAAGGGTGAAGGGTGGGGAGTGATGAAAGGGGAGTGGATGAAGGGTGAAGGGAGTGATGAAGGGTGGAGGAGTGATGAAGGGTAGGGGAGTGATGAAGGGTAGGGGAGTGATGAAGGGTAGGGGAGTGGTGAAGGGTGGGGGAGTGATTAAGGGTCGGGGAGTGATGAAGGGTGGGAAAGTGGTGAAGGGTGGGGGAGTGGTGAAGGGTAGGGGAGTGGGAGTGGAAGGGTGATGAAGGGGGGAGTAGGGGAGTGATGAAGTGGGGGAGTGATGAAGGGTAGGGGAGTGATGAAGGGTAGGGGAGTGATGAAGGGTGGGGGAGTGGTGAAGGGTGGAGGAGTGATGAAGGGTAGGGGAGTGATGAAGAGTGGGGGAGTGATGAAGGGTAGGGGAGTGATGAAGGATGGGGGAGTGATGAAGGATGGGGGAGTGATGAAGAGTGGGGGAGTGATGAAGGGTAGGGGAGTGATGAAGGATGGGGGAGTGATGAAGGATGGGGGAGTGATAAAGGGTGGGGGAGTGGTGTAGGGTAGGAGAGTGATATAGAGTGGGGGGAGTAGTGAAGGGTGGGGGAGTGATGAAGGGTAGAGGAGTGATGAACGGTAGGGAAGTAATGAAGGATAGGGGAGTGATGAAGGGTGGAGGAGTGATGAAGGGTAGGGGAGTGATGAAGGGTGGGGGAGTGATGAAGGGTAGGGGAGTGGTGAAGGGTGGGGGAGTGATGAAGGGTGGGGAGTGATGAGGGGAGTGATGAAGGGTAGGGGAGTGATGAAGGGTGGGGAGGGGAGTGGAGTGAAGGGTAGGGGAGTGATGAAGGGTAGGGGAGTGGTGAAGGGTAGGGGAGTGATGAAGGGTGAGGGAGTGAAGAAGGGTGGGAGAGTGATGAAGGGTGGGGGAGTGATGAAGGGTGGGGGAGTGATGAAGGGTGAAGGAGTGGTGAAGGATAGGAAAGTGATGAAGGTTGGGGAGTGATGAAGGATAGGGGAGTGGTGAAGGGTAGGGGAGTGGTGAAGGGTGGGAGAGTGGTGAAGGGCAGGGGAGTGATGAAGGGTAGGGGAGTGATGAAGGGGAGTGATGAAGAGTGATGAAGAGGTGAAGGGTGGGGGAGTGATGAAGGGTAGGGGGGAGTGAATGAAGGGTGAAGGGGGGAGTGAGGGAGTGATGAAGGGTGGGAGAGTGATGAAGGGTATGGGAGTGAAGGGTGGGAGAGTGATGAAGAGTGGGGAAGTGGTGAAGGGAATTGGAGAGATAAAGGGTGGAGAGTGATGAAGGGTAGGGGAGTGATGAAGGGTAGGGGAGTGATGAAGAGTGGGGGAGTGATGAAGGGTAGGGGAGTGATGAAGGGTGGGTGAGTGGTGAAGGGTGGGGGAGTGATGAAGGGTAGGGGAGTGATGAAGGGTAGGGGAGTGATGAAGGATGGGGGAGTGATGAAGGATGGGGGAGTGATAAAGGGTGGGGGAGTGAAGGGTAGGGGAGTGATGAAGGGTAGGGGAGTGGGGGGAGTAGTGAAGGGTGGGGGAGTGATGAAGGGTGGGGAGTGATGGGGAGTGATGAAGGGTGAGAGTGAGTAGGGGAGTGATGAAGGGTGGGGAGTGATGAAGGTGGGAAGAGTGATGAAGAGTGATGAAGGGTAGGGGAGTGTGAAGGGAGGGGAGTGATGAAGGGTGGGGGAGTGGTGAAGGGTGGGGGAGTGATGAAGAGTGTGCAAGTGGTAAAGGGTATGGGAGTGATGAAGGGTGGGGGAGTGATGAAGGGTGGAGGAGTGATGAAGGATGGGGGAGTGATGAAGGTAGGGGAGTGATGAAGAGTGGGGGAGTGGTGAATGGTGGAGGAGTGATGAAGGGTAGGGGAGTGATGAAGGGTTGGAGAGTGATGAAGGGTAGGAGAGTGATAAAGGGTAGGGGAGTGATGAAGGGTGGGATAGTGATGAAGGGTGAGAGGGTTTTGAAGGGTAGGGGAGTGGTGAAGGGTGGGAGAGTGATGAAGAGTTGGGGAGTGGTGAAGGGTGGGTGATTGGTGAAGTGTGGGGGAGTGATGAAGAGTGCAAGTGCAAGTGTAAAGTAAAGGGTGATGGGAGTAATGAAGTGATGAAGGGGAGTGATGAAGGGTGGTGAGTGATGAAGGGTAGGGGAGTGATGAAGGGTAGGGAGAGTGATGAAGGGTAGGGGTGATGAAGTGATGAAGGGTGGGGGAGTGATGAAGGGTGGGGGAGTGGTGAAGGGTAGAGGAGTGATGAAGGGTAGGGGAGTGATGAAGGGTTGGTGAGTGATGAATGGTGGAGGAGTGATGAAGGATAGGGAAGTAATGAAGGATAGGGGAGTGATGAAGGGTGGAGGAGTGATGAAGGGTAGGGGAGTGATGAAGGGTGGGGGAGTGGTGAAGGGTGGGGGAGTGATGAAGGGTAGGGGAGTGATGAAGAGTGGGGGAATGATGATGGATTGGGGAGTGGTTAAGGATGGGAGAGTGATAAAGGGTGGGGGAGTGTTGAAGGGTGGGAGAGTGATGAAGAGTGGGGGATTGTTGAAGGGTAAGGGATTGATAAATGGTAAGGGAGTGGTGAAGGGAGTGGGAGTGATGAAGAGTAGTGGAGTGATAAAGGGTGGGAGAGTGATGAAGAGTTGGGGAGTGGTGAAGGGTGGATGATTGGTGAAGGGTGGGGGAGTGATGAATGGTGGGAGAGTAATGATGAGTTGGGGAGTGGCGAAGGATGGGAGAGTGGTGAAGGGTGGGGGAGTGATGAAGAGTAGGGGAGTGATGAAGGGTAGGGGAGTGGTGAAGGGTTGGAGAGTGATGAAGGATGGGTTATTGGTGAAGTGTGGGGCAGAGATGGAGGGTGGGAGAGTGATAAAGAGTGGGGGAGTGGTGAAGGATAGGGGAGTGGTGAAGGGTAGGGAAGAGGTGACATCGTTGATTTCTTCATTATTAAGCATAGTTAGTGTGTAATAGATTAGTTGAAAATTGAACGAGCATCCTTTTTTATTCTCTTATTTCAACACAAATTGAAACAACTAAAAAAATCTTGGAAAACTGAGGATAATAAATTTGACAAAAATAATTAAATCAGAATACTTTTTCAACAGCAGTATTTCATGTGAAGGCTATAAAGCCTGCTAAGTTTCAATCTGTCGGACCACGTGATCTTTTCTCCGGTTTCTGTGTACAATAAGAAGCCTTGCACATTTCCATCCCGTTCAACAAAAGTTATGATATAAATTAAATATTTTTCTCTTCGTAATTGTTGTAAAATAAATGAAATTTGTCATACTTGTGCAATAATTAGTGAAAAATGTTGTATAACACTAACATATATTTTTTTTTATAATACGTCCGATATCATAACTAAAACCATGGAAACCAGTTGTCATGTGTATAGGTATTAATTCCGTTGATGTGTGTTGTAACAGTGATAACGGTAGGTTTATACGATATGGTATAAGACTGATACGAAATTTACAATGGAGGTAAAAACTGGGGAAATATACAATTGTACACGTTGTAATTTCCCTTAAATTTTTGGACAATAAAACATTGTAATTACCATTTAACGTAAAACCATATTGGTTGATTCTTGGATTGAACGTTACCACGGCAATTACTTCAAAAGGAATGATTTTCATAGCCTGAGGTCTCGCTCGCTCTCATCATGCTCCGCTCACTTTCATCATATTCAGATATACACTACCGTTCCTATACATGCATGCAAACAGTTTCATAATTCAACACTACATATATGCTGAATTGGTGAATGTTTTATTTCTGATACATAATACAAATGCTGTATTTTTTTATGAACAACCGTGTTACTGTAATTTCAATCTTGATGAAAATACGCAATAAGAAGCAGTCGTATATTCATCAAGATTGAAATAACACCGGCGTTGTTTATTAATATGTATGAATATGTAAATTTACTTAGTGTCATCACTTTCAACAGCCGAACAGATCTTCGTAATTTATCGTGATATGGTTGGTGCATAATCAAAAACAACAACTCATCGGTGGATAAAATTATCTCATTCATTGTATCTGTGATTAAAGATATTTTGAATCAATTAAAATTGCAGTCCGTGATATCATGTAGTCTTATAATTCTAATGGCTATAGACATTGTTGTTACATAAAACAATCGAGTGAAGGCAAAATCGGTCAGCATGAAAATTGTATGAATACTAAGCAGAATCTTTTTTGAATTTAAATTACAAAATGTCATAGTGTTATAAAAAATAGCTTGCGTACATGTAATCATTTTAATTGAATATCAATGCCACGCGATCTATTTGCATATAAATTAGTGCCACTAACGAAATCTGTGTCGACTCACATACGACGGGAGAATTGACCAATCAGATCGCTAGCCTCTGCACTTGAGTGTAACTTCGGCATTGTTCGGGAAGTACTAGCTTTGGTTTGTTTACTGTGCTGTATATTGCAAGACAAGTGGCTTACATTTTACAACGGTGTGTCGCTCAGACTCCTGTCATATCTCAGACTGCAACTGTTGAAAAAGATAATTGTGAGTATTCCGTAATTGTTTTAAAAACCTGTATTATATACTTGTAGACTTCTTGCGCGTGACCTTACGAAAAATAATCGCAAGATATTATTATTCAAAATGGCGGCGAGTATTTCTCCTAATGAAAGAGGGTGTATAATTACCATTTTTACATATTCATAATTTCAGTTTTAGCATAATGTATTCCGTTTTATATTTATTACAAATTTTACCTTATGACATGACGCTTAGATATTGTGTGAGTTTGAAGCGTATAACTTAACCTGGGCCTTGAGAGACAAAATCATTATTTTCAGTGGTAAACGTACGGAAGTACAGTTTAGAAAAATGAAGTCTTCATGCAAATATCAGGGTCATTGTTTTTAATGCTGTGTGAGCATCATGTATAATTGAATGCCAACACGTGTTCAATATTTACGAACTCCGTTAGATACTACCATAATAACAAGCTGAAACGACATGTGTTTTCTTGAGCCACGGCACCTGGTCACCGATATGTCGTCTTAATATTGACCACTTTTTGAGGCGGGCGACAGCCATTAGCAAAGCCTATGCCAAAAAAAGTGTGAGACATCACTGTAGACACGGTTTGGATCGTGACACGTTCAGAACGAGGAAACAGGTTCAAAAGTAGACCTGTAGTAGGCTGTTGATCTTATGTGAGGTGTCTAATGTAAAATTCTGGTCTTATGGCAAGGCCTATGTGGAAAGATCAATCTTAAGAACACTTGCATTATGCAAATTTCTTGAATTAATGATCAGTCTATAGGGCACACGGAGAAATATGACCTGGCGCAGCAAAGTAGTGCATATTGTATTATGAATAATAATAGAGTTTGAATTAAAAAAAAAGATAAAATTTCATTTTACAAGAATTATGAAACCAGATTACAAGCATGGTTTAACAATTTTATTACATATTTTGTAATGTTTTACATGGATGGCAGTTAATATGGGACAAAAAAGGGAAGATAATTGAATGGAGCAGACTACTGAACTAAAATGACCAAGCAGGCAACCGCATTCCTTTACACATCTGAAACACGGAAATTTAATGCTTGAATGTTAAATAGCAAGCTGCGATATTATTGTTAGGTTCGGAAGTAGAAATAGTCTTATTTTAGAAAAGTACTATAAATTGAGACAAAGATTATTTTCAGTTTATGGATACTGTTATATACAATGTTTTCATGGTTACAATCATGTCACATTTTAATGTACATAGGATTATATTTATAGTACATTAGAAAAATAGTGTAGATTCCTTACTATCTTGTACACTGGGTACGTCGGTGCTTGTACACTCTACGCTGGTCATTTGTCTGATGGAGGTGACCGTGTAGTCATCAAAACGTCACACTATAATCTTCTACTGGTTGTGTTATAAGATGAAGGTGACCGTGTAGTCATCAAAACATCACACTCTAATTTTCTACTGGTTGTGTTATAAGAACTATAAGGTGACCGTGTAGTCATCGAAACGTCACACTCTAATCTTCTACTAGTTGTGTTATAAGATGAGGTGACCATGTAGTCATTGTACGTCACACTCTTATCTTCTACTGGTTGTGTTATAAGATGAAGGTGACCATGTAGTCATTAAAACATCACACTCTAATCTTCTACTGGTTGTGTTATAAGATGAAGGTGACCATGTAGTCATTAAAACGTCACACTCAAATCTTCTACTGGTTGTGTTATAAGATGAAGGTGACCATGTAGTCATTGTACGTCACACTCAAATCTTCTACTGGTTGTGTTATAAGATGAAGGTGACCATGTAGTCATTGTACGTCACACTCTTATCTTCTACTGGTTGTGTTATAAGATGAAGGTGACCATGTAGTCATTGTACGTCACACTCTTATCTTCTACTGGTTGTGTTATAAGATGAAGGTGACCATGTAGTCATTAAAACGTCACACTCAAATCTTCTACTGGTTGTGTTATAAGATGAAGGTGACCATGTAGTCATTATACGTCACACTCAAATCTTCTACTGGTTGTGTTATAAGATGAGGTGACCATGTAGTCATTGAAACGTCACACTCAAATCTTCTACTGGTTGTGTTATAAGATGAGGTGACCATGTAGTCATTGAAACGTCACACTCAAATCTTCTAGTGGTTGTGTTATAAGATGAAGGTGACCATGTAGTCATTAAAACGTCACACTCAAATCTTCTAGTGGTTGTGTTATAAGATGAGGTGACCATGTAGTCATTGTACGTCACACTCTTATCTTCTAGTGGTTGTGTTATAAGATGAGGTGACCATGTAGTCATTGAAACGTCACACTCAAATCTTCTACTGGTTGTGTTATAAGATGAAGGTGACCATGTAGTCATTGAAACGTCACACTCAAATCTTCTACTGGTTGTGTTATAAGATGAAGGTGACCATGTAGTCATTGTACGTCACACTCTTATCTTCTACTGGTTGTGTACTAAGATGAAGGTGACCATGTAGTCATTAAAACGTCACACTCAAATCTTCTACTGGTTGTGTTATAAGATGAAGGTGACCATGTAGTCATTATACGTCACACTCAAATCTTCTACTGGTTGTGTTATAAGATGAAGGTGACCATGTAGTCATTGTACGTCACACTCTTATCTTCTACTGGTTGTGTTATAAGATGAAGGTGACCATGTAGTCATTGTACGTCACACTCTTATCTTCTACTGGTTGTGTTATAAGATGAAGGTGACCATGTAGTCATTGTACGTCACACTCTTATCTTCTACTGGTTGTGTTATAAGATGAAGGTGACCATGTAGTCATTGTACGTCACACTCTTATCTTCTACTGGTTGTGTTATAAGATGAAGGTGACCATGTAGTCATTGAAACGTCACACTCAAATCTTCTACTGGTTGTGTTATAAGATGAAGGTGACCATGTAGTCATTGTACGTCACACTCAAATCTTCTACTGGTTGTGTTATAAGATGAAGGTGACCATGTAGTCATTGTACGTCACACTCAAATCTTCTACTGGTTGTGTTATAAGATGAAGGTGACCATGTAGTCATTGAAACGTCACACTCAAATCTTCTAGTGGTTGTGTTATAAGATGAAGGTGACCATGTAGTCATTAAAACGTCACACTCAAATCTTCTACTGGTTGTGTTATAAGATGAGGTGACCATGTAGTCATTATACGTCACACTCAGATCTTCTAGTGGTTGTGTTATAAGATGAAGGTGACCATGTAGTCATTGAAACGTCACACTCTAATCTTCTACTGGTTGTGTTATAAGATGAAGGTGACCATGTAGTCATTATACGTCACACTCAAATCTTCTACTGGTTGTGTTATAAGATGAAGGTGACCATGTAGTCATTGTACGTCACACTCTTATCTTCTACTGGTTGTGTTATAAGATGAAGGTGACCATGTAGTCATTGTACGTCACACTCTTATCTTCTACTGGTTGTGTTATAAGATGAAGGTGACCATGTAGTCATTGAAACGTCACACTCAAATCTTCTACTGGTTGTGTTATAAGATGAAGGTGACCATGTAGTCATTGAAACGTCACACTCTTATCTTCTACTGGTTGTGTTATAAGATGAAGGTGACCATGTAGTCATTGTACGTCACACTCTTATCTTCTACTGGTTGTGTTATAAGATGAAGGTGACCATGTAGTCATTGAAACGTCACACTCAAATCTTCTACTGGTTGTGTTATAAGATGAAGGTGACCATGTAGTCATTGAAACGTCACACTCAAATCTTCTAGTGGTTGTGTTATAAGATGAAGGTGACCATGTAGTCATTGTACGTCACACTCAAATCTTCTAGTGGTTGTGTTATAAGATGAAGGTGACCATGTAGTCATTGAAACGTCACACTCAAATCTTCTAGTGGTTGTGCTATCAGAACTTATTTTCCATTGAGAATATACTTGTCAAAACATACTATGCAGTTTTATTCTCTGTTCATTTCTTTAGCTTGACTGGTTTATTCTAAGACTAGTAAACCCGAGGAGTCTGAATCATAGCAGAGACATGAAAATGAATGAAGACTGTTACACTGGTTTGCTAAACGGAATAATACTTTGTGAAGATCCTACAAGCATTTTCTGTCACTTCTGGAAATTTGAAGACAAGCTCTTTCTTGGAGGAGGAGGAGGAGGAGAAGGGTGTATAATAGGTACAACTGTCCACTTGGTTAGAGAGGTCAGCTCTTCAATCATTGGAGTGTAAGACTAGAAAGCCAGTGGTCCTTGGCTCACATCCTAAATAATCTTTGTGTTCCTGTAGTGACCAGGTGGGTACATATACTGATTAAGAACTATCATTGCAACTCCTGGAAACCAGAGGAAAAGTTCAGATGAAAATTTGCTTGTAACATATCTAAAGTCTGACTAAAATTCAAGCTGAAGTAAACCAGTGATCCTAATTTCACATCCTAGGAGAGGCATTGAAATATAGAGTATAACATAGTAGAACAGTCTGTAAGGTCCCTTGTACAGCCACTGACCTTAGTCCAGGGCTGACTGTGCTGTTCCTTGTACAGCCACTGACCTTAGTCCAGGACTGTCTGTGAGGTCCCTTGTACAGCCACTGACCTAAGTCCAGGACTGTCTGTGAGGTCCCTTGTACAGCCACTGACCTTAGTCCAGGACTGTCTGTGAGGTCCCTTGTACAGCCAGTGACTTCAGTCCAGGGATGTCTCTGAGGTCCCTTGTACAGCCACTGACCTTAGTCCAGGGCTGACTGTGCTGTTCCTTGTACAGCCACTGACCTTAGTCCAGGACTGTCTGTGAGGTCCCTTGTACAGCCACTGACCTAAGTCCAGGACTGTCTGTGAGGTCCCTTGTACAGCCAGTGACCTTAGTCCAGGACTGTCTGTGAGGTCCCTTGTACAGCCAGTGACTTCAGTCCAGGGATGTCTCTGAGGTCCCTTGTACAGCCAGCGACCTTAGTCCAGGGCTGTCTGTGCTGTCCCTTGTACAGCCAGTGACCTTAGTCCAGGGCTGACTGTATGGTCCC